AGCGAAAAACTTACAACTTACAAAACAAATGCAATAGTTTTCTTTATTACTTTTTTTCAAACTAAGCAATAAAAGTTGACGTTCACTCTTAGTTCAACTGTAGCGAAATTTGTCTCCTTTTTTAGGTCAACCGTCACACGCGTGCGAAATGAGATTTACTGGAAATAAAAACCTTTTGATCAAAGTCTATTTCAGTAATTATTGTCATGAAACCAACCTGATTAAAATGGTTGTTCGCTATGTTCGATGGGTTGTTTTCTGCTGATCCGCCACTGTAAACTGTCCATTTTCTTCCCATTTAAGTTTCCTGTGTGTTTGCTAATCAAGCCGTGGGTGTCTCCATTGGCATATGGCCTGGATAACCGTGGCGGAACGTTTCTTGTTTTCTTCAACACATACAAACACACAATTTGTAGAACACATATAATTGTAAATACAATGATCAAGGAACCGAGGTCTTGACAGGACTCCATGATTTTATTTCGTGTCTTCTTCTCAGTTTTGTTGCCGCTACAGTTAAAGTAGTTGAAGAACAACTGAACCTGCGATGTAACTAGTTGTTACATGCCACTTTAAGTAATCGACCACCGTCCGTGTCCCGCGTACCTTGAACGTCAAGTGGCACTTGTCTTCATAGAATCGAAAACACGCAAATGAGTCAATCTGCGGATTGTTTCCATAGTATAAACTAGAAGGGCGGTAATGACTACTTGGTTTTGTTCCGTCCCTTATCTAAGGGCGGTTTAAATTTTCCTTGTTTTCGGACTGTCATTAAAGCGCTACGCCTCTGTTGGATAGGGAGACTTTTAAGTAATCCACATGACACTTGGACAGCAATTCCCAACTTTCACTTTGAAAAACATGGTGGACTCTTGTTTCTACTTAATTGCAATTACAGTGTCGAAAAGTTAGATAAGAAAATTCCCTTATTTTATAGGGAACTACTTGAATACTTTCAGGAATTGCGTAGCAACTGCGAAGATCCACTACAGCGCGAATTTATATTATGGAATAATAAAGATATCAACGTTGAAAACAAATCGGTGTTTTGGAAATCTTGGCGTGATAAAAATGTCTTGTTTGTGCAAGATCTGCTGAACAATCAAGGTAATTATCTATCCCCACAAGAATTCAGTAATAAATATAACATCAAGGTTAATTTTCTGCAATACTACCAAATCATTACAGCCATTCCAGCGTCTCTCAAAAGTTACGCCTTCACTCATTTAGATCTTGGAAAACTGAACTCGATTTCTGAAAATGTCGACTTCCAGATATCTAAAGATGTTAGTTTAAACTTAAAGAAAACTTCGTGCAAGCAGTTTTACAAATTGTTTACAGAGAACATTAGTATTGAACCTACTGCGGTTACAACATGGCGAAAACATTGTACTGTGGTCGCTGACAAGTGGGAGCAATGCATTGAGAACAATCATAAAATCACTCGAGATAATAAGCTAAGACAATTTTATTTTAAATTGTTACACAGAATACTAGTTACTAACAAGGAACTGACACGCTTTGGGATAACTGATTGTACTATGTGTGTTATGTGTGGCGAAAACGATTCTATAGAACATACTTTCTTTGAATGTCGCTCTTTTCTGAAATTATGTGACGAATCCCTTCAGTGGTTCAATATATCTCACAAAACCAATATTAAACTCACGCCGCTTCAAGTTTTTCTCAATTTATCTAGCCTGAGTATCAGGCGTTTCTGGGGAAAAGGGGAAAGATGGAAGCGAAAAAGGGAGAGAGCTGAAGGAGAGAAACCTTCTCCCCCTCCCCCCTCCCCCATCTAAAATCCCCTCTCCCCTAGCCCCTTAGGAAGGCCTGATACTCAGGCTACAATTTACCAACCCCAGCTTTCAATCTTTCCAATAAACAAACCAAGGATTTGTGTCTTCTTCTGCTATATGTAAAGCAGTACCACTATGGATGTAAATCAATGCAAAAGAAAACAGACACCTCTGAATTTATATCTAAATTTATTATGCAGCTTGAAATAGACGTTTGACATGATAGTGCCACCCTCCTCTCAGTTTTATATGTATATTAATGTAATACATTAGCTTTAATATGTGTAATCGATAGAAGTATTTTAGTGGCCAATACAGGAACATTTATCTAAGTGCACAATTGTAAGTATTGTAACGTACTTTTGTTTAATAAATAAAATTAAAAAAAAAAAAAAGAAAAACTACTTGGTGCCGATTTTTTGCTTGTGGCATAAAATATAAGTGTTCTCGGACTAAATAAAAAAGAAAGACGACTAGCTATGATTAATGACCCATGTAAACAAAACCATGTCAACACGTAATACCGGAAAGGTTATCGGACTTGTTTCTTCTCTTTGTAGTTTGTAGTTTCTGTAAATTCAAAGGGTATTTAAATTTAAATTAGATTCAGAAATATCTGTTCAACCACAGTATATAGATTGGAATGGTTATAAAACCAGTCAGACTTGTTTGTTATATGTTTTTGTGGACCTGACGGTGCACAACGCTCAAACTCATTCCTATATCATTTTGATATCATTGACCGCAAGAAACGGCGTTGCATTTATTTATTCCGTCACAATTTGCCAACAAGAAACAACGGATTTTGCATCTGCAGGGAGCTTCCAACATAAACTACAGTACCGTTTTTTTTATTTGATCAGTGTTTGTTGTCGTTCATAACCACAGGAAATAAATCGACCCTTTCCTCAGTGATAGATGGTTTTCTATTACGCCGCAAAATGTAACAATTAACAGAAAATGTAACATTAACGCGAAATAAAACGACTTTTGACGCGAAATGTAACATTAACCCGAAATGTGACAACTTTTTAACGCGAAATGTAACAACTTTTTGACGCAAAATGAAACAACATTTTTAACGCGAAATGTAACAGATGTTATGACGTCATCAAATAAAGTCAAAATAGCGAGGTTTTGCAAATTCTTATTTACACTGGGGTGAAGATAAACAAATAGTAAATCTTTGTACAAGTTTCCAGTCCCGTAGTGTGTTTCATTTCAGCAATTTGAACTTAGGAGTTTTCACAGTGCTTGACACCAAAATAGGAATGCTGTCTCGTTGAAAAAAAGTCTCTCCTCTTGATTTTCAGCAGTATAACCATTTCAAGTGTTAGAGAATATGTTTATGCGCAAGTATGCTAGTTCTGGAGTGAAAAGAAAGAGCTTTTATAGAAAAAGTGAACTCCAGATGTTTTTGTTGATTTCCGGCGGCCATATTGGTGCACCAAAACGGTGCACCAATGTGTCGTCGGTGCGTGAAACGTTTCGGCAAATAACACAAAAACTGTGCGCCACAAAGACCTGAGACTGTTTAAATATTAGTGTTTTATAACATTTCATTTTCTTGGCTTCTTCCATTGGACGGTTTCAGTTCAATTTATTTTTTTGTTGCGTGATAGTGAAAACGATCAATAGATTGAGCCCGGGGGGTTGGGAACAAGGGCTTAATGCAGGGGGAAGTACGGCCAACCAGGGTATGTTTTTCGGGATTTTGTTTTGAATAGGGTATCAATTTTATCATTTTTTGTCTTAATCAGGGTACCGATTTTATCACTATTTTTGTCTTAAACAGGGTATCTTTTCTTGGACGACAAACAGCGTGCGCGTATGTTCTACGAACTAAACTACAGCAAAATTATTATTCAAATTATTATTTTATGAACATCCTTTCATTTTTATAAAACTATTCATAACATATAAGTTTACAGCACTCTATTAATTTTAATGTCAATAATGTAAATATCAAAAACTGCTGACCAAAGAAGAACCTTGCCCGAGGTCACAAAAGCAACCATTGGTGTCAAACGCTACAAGGGCGCTATCCGCAGCAAGGAATGGAGGCCAAATCCGAGGTTTTGCGCAAGCGCAATTATATTAAGGGCGGTATACCGTATATTAATATACGTTTCGGATCAATGCATTAAGTCATAATCCTCATAATCATAACTATAACAAAATTGTCAAATCTGATTGGCTATCAACTGCCCTGATTTCAGCCTTAATTGGACAGTTTAATAGGACAGTACGCGTCATGCCTAAGTAATTGGACAGTACGCGCCATCAAGCGCGCACTTAAAAATCACTCGTGATCGATTAAAGAAATCGGACTCCCGCTACGCGGTCGTCGGATTTTGTTAATCACTCGTATGATTACAGACCGAATTGGACTCCAATCAGTCCTGTTACCATTACTTACTTCACTATTGAGCACGACTCAATTACAAATCAAATATAATAAGAGTAAAGACTCTCCAATGTTGCATCGGTAGAGCAAAGTGAAGATATCATAGAAAAATCCGGGATTCCACTGTACATATTGGGAGTTTCGAAACTGAAAATTGCTGGTAGGAGAAATCGGGGATTAAATTAAGTGATTTCCATGCAGGCGAATCGCTTTTTGTTGGAAAAACTGGATTGCACTGTATTATTAACCTTTGGGAAACCTGAAGATAAAAAAGGTCACGAAATTCTTAGGTGAACAAAACAGGTTCTAATCACCCAGACGCATAGGCCAACTAACACTGAGCACGAATTTTTTAACAAAATTTTGAGCTGTCCTCGAGAAATGGAAATTTCCCGGCATCTAGGGTGGGTTCGATTGGGAAATACTGAATTTGTATTTTGAACCTGATTTCTGATTTTGGAATCGAACGAAAAATCCAAAAACGGATTTTAACTACGAGAAATCCGTCCTCGAGATGGGTAACGCGTTTCAATTAAGAAATCCAAATCCGGATTTTACGAATTTCGTATTTATACCGTTTGACTGGGAAGCCCGAAAAAGACCATTCTCGAGACCAGTTGTCCTTTTTATGCTGAATATGCGTACGTGGCAAGAGCGCTGTTTTTAAGAGCAGTTTTTCAAATCCTTTATAGGATTTCTCCCCTCCCCCCTTCCAAAAAGAAATTAAATAAATAAATAATGAATAAATAAAAATACAGCAGTGATGATCAAAATACGTTATCCATTTCTGGCGTTTCAATCAAGCATCAAACAATGCATTTGGAGGGGGTTATAATCGGAAGTATTTTTTGTTTACGGGTAGATGGGTGTATAACTGAGGGCACTTATAAGCAGTGGTTGAGGGTTTTTCCCTTTTTCAGCCTGACGGTGACGGGACGGTGGACCAGTTTTCCACCCCCAAGGTTCAATCAAGTCAGTCCACTAAAAACGACTTTCGCAACACTGAAAGATGTCTCCAGAAAGTAACTAGTAAGATTTACCACTAGGTTCTTTAAATTCCAAAGAACTGACTGAATGAAATGTTTTTCAAGCCCGAGTCTTGAACTTCAAACTGATCCTTACGGCAAGGCGATGAAGAAGTAAACAAAAGAATAAAACAAAAAATACATTATTTATATTTCGGTTTGGAAACAAACCTTCTGCAGCGGCTAAAAGAAAAATGAAAATAAAACTAAAAGCTTTGCCGTAAGGATCAGTTTGCCGTTTCATATTTTTCTACAAGTTTAATTGTACTGATCCAGGTCTACAACTGGGAGATCGGGCACCACTCATTGGTTTGTTGCTGTGGACTTGATGATATTATGTATATCTTAAACTTCATTAAGAAAGAAAACGAGATTTTCACAACCAACGCTGATTAAAGTTTAGAACAAAGACTCTTTCCAGCTGCGAGACACACTTGATCGGCCACGCGGATTCCAGTTTCTATCGCAGTTGGTACAGTTGAGCACGATCGAAGACTTGTAGCTTCACCCGCAAAAAACAAGCGATCTTCAACAGGAGTGGCAATCACGTGACGAAGATCGTACGCATTGGCAGTAGGGGATGTGTATCCACCGCGAATGTAGGGATGGTTTGACCAATGAAAATACACGTAGTCTAGGAAAGAATCGGTTGCAGGACGAGCATCGCTGGGTGTGCTGTAAAAAAATAATAATAATGATAATAATGTTAGTAATAATAATAATGATGATGATGATGATGATGATGATGATGACGACTCTACATCATGCTTTGCACCCGCAGGCTGATTTTGACAAGATTTACTTTAAAAGATCAGAGGGCGGTAGAGGATTAATGAGTGTTGACGACTCTGCAAATAGTGAGATGAATAGACTTAGCAGGTATGTTGAGAGTTGTAACGGCTCCCTGTTCGAGGCAGTGTATAATGAAGAGGTTCTGAGATATTATGCGAAAGTTGTGAAGACGCATCATTACAGCAAGAAAGAAAAAAGCGCTTTCAGTAGAAACAACTTTAAGGGCAGTTTTGGAGGAACACACTAATAAGAGATAAAAGACGTGGGAGTGGCTGAAAAAGGGAAGACTAAAGAAGGAGATGGAGGGTATGATTATCGAAGAACAAGACCAAGTCTTAAGAAAGAAAAATATTACAACCACGAGCCACGACCAGTGTATGAATCCAGTACTGAACAAGCTGCTGTGGGACTTCTTCAAAATACAGACTGACAACAAGGTTGAACACAACAAGCCTGACATTGTGGTATTGGATAAGATAGAACGGAAGTGCCTAACTTTGACGTTGCTTGTGCATTTGACATCCGAGTGAAAGGGAAGGAGAAAGAAGAAATTTAGAACTACCAAGAACTGAAGCGCGAGTTTAAATGGATCTGGAAATTGCGCAGAGTAACTGTGGCGCCAGTCATAATTGGTGCATTAGGAACTGTCTCGAAAGACATAGAAAAGTGGTTAACAGAGAATGGTGTCACATGCCGTTTAGAATCATTGCAGAGAGCGCGCTTATACTGGGTACAGCCAGAATCCTTCGCAGTCTTAGCCGGACACCTAAGGTCACGCGTGGTGACTTGATGTTTAAGGAAGACTCCAGCAAGCCATACAGATGCTTTGTTTAATGACGATAATTATAATAATAATACCGAAGGGGCGCACTTAGCTAAGGGGAGACTCATGAGGAGTTAGGCCTTTTTTATTTGTGACACGTGTCGTGTATACTGCTAAGATGCCGAAAAACTCCAGTAAGGTGATCAATAATGAGAGGAAGTTGAGCTTGGTGAACTAGACGCCAATAATAGGCATACATTGGGCTGCAGGACTCAGCGGTGTAATGCTTTGGAAAGTGTATTGCTCTGCTATACCTGCTAAGGGATTATGAGCAGTTTTCATTTCACGAAGAATGGGGCCGTTCTTTTTCGTAAACACTGACTTTTTGTTTCCTTTTACCACGAAATGACTTCGGCGTTTTCATTGAAAAATTTTAAGTTACTTACATATATCAAAATTTTCTTACCTGAACATCTCATCCAAATAGCCCAAGAACCCCTCCAAGACCTGTTGACCGCTGAGAATACTTTTCTGTTCCGCAGACTCAGCAGTTTCAAACCCAACAACCACGTGACACTTGTCATCATTAACAGCTGAGTCACGTGACCACATCCATATTTCACTTGTAAATCCCCGTACACTGTAAATTTGATGAAGTTTCTCGGGCCAAAACCGGCGTTTGAATTGACAAATAATTTTCCACGCTCCAAGCATCTGGATTGTGTTTATGGCTCTGTTTTTGTCAGCGGTAAGTTCTGGAACAAAAGTGATGTCCCTATCTTTGAGGATTGTAAGCGGGACAGTAATGACGACGTATTTAGCGGTTATAATTTCCCCGTGTTGATTCTTCAAAAGAATTCTTCCACCAGCATTTAATCTGTGCCTGTCTTCATCTGCAAAAAAATAGCGCTCACTGAACGTGAAAATAAATACTTCTTAGCGGAGAGCTGTAAATGTTTCAACACAAAATGTTGCATAGAAAATCGACTTTACACCGTTATGTCAGCGTTTTAAACCAGACTTCCCGGACCTGGAGCCATTTACTCCCAAACTAAGTCTTTGACGGGCGTTATCCAGACCGGTTATACATTTTAGATCACTTTTCCGCCGAAATTTAGGCCCAGTTCATACGTCGTGCTTCCACAGTGCTTTTGTCAAACTTATTCAAAAATTACGTCGGCATGGCAGAAGCACGACGTATGAACTGGGCCTTAGTACGCAACAGAGGAAAAATGAAAACAATCAAACGACCTTACCTTTTATAGAACTACCATTTCTCGACCTCAAAGTTTTTATTATTAATTTTCGGGAATACCACGAGTCTAAACTGTCTTCTAAAACGTTCTGAAGTCTTTTCGAGTTGTAGGGTTTAACACAAACATACTGCGTCTTCTTCTCGTTAAAAGGAATTTCGGGAAGCAGAGACTGTTTTTATCAATGCGCTAAGGAATGGAACTTTTCAGACGCATCTTTTAAAGAAATTAACTCTCTTCTTCTTTTTAAACAGAGCAGTAAAAGCTGTATATTTATCTAAGATCATTTATTTTTCTATTGTTTTACAGGGCGTCACTGAATATCACTCTTGGTGAAGTGAGCTCCCTGTATAAAGATTGTTATAATTATTATGATTATTAAAAATTGTCGTCTGTGACATCATGCAGCTTTTTTTCTGTAATACTTCCTTCATTTTTAATCAGAATAGTAGTAACACCTTAGACTGCAATACAGTCGTTAAGTCTTTTATACGAACGCAGACGGTCCTCAAGCAAGACTTCTAAAACAAGTGTGATAACGGACAAAGAGAGTCGGAAGAGGCATGTGTGTCGAACATAGAGACTCGAGCTACTCGCACGCTTTCGGGTGCGTGAAAGTAAACTGATGCACTGCAGTTTAACTTAAAGCGAACTTTAACATTGCACACCTTGTACATTCGAATTCAAGCATAGCAAGAAAAGTAAACCTAAATGACAGTTACAGAATCAAACATACATACTGTATACTTATCTAAAAGATGACTGTTTACTCCTTACCTTTCCAAACGATTTTCTTAACTTGCCAGTTGAGTCGTTTATCCACATCTGTGGTGTTATCTAAGTAATACTTTACCAGTTGGGAATATGATTCAGCAAGTCTGAAGTGTCAAACACAGATAAAAAGTAAGGACAAGCTTCCCGAGAGGTACTTCATCAACAATCTCAAAAATTAGAACCACCTTGTACAGCATAATAAAAAGTAACACAGGAAAGGAATACTCAGAAGCTTTCAGTTGAATGGTCACACTTTAGGATTTCATCAAAAACCTCAAAAGCAAAACCACCTTTTGAAGCACAATGAACAGTACCACAGGAAAGCACTGCTCAAACGCTTTAATGTGAATGGCCACACTTAACGAGTTCATACTAGAATTCAAAATTAAAGTTAGGACCATCTTGCACAGTACAACCATTACTTTGTCCGAAGACATACTATCAAGTTATACTGTACGTACAAAGTACTGAGCTCACCTGCAATTTCCAAGGCCCCACTCAAATTTCGATTCCATTCTCCTTCTTCCTTCACGTACTCCATAATGTGTCAAAGACCCAGCTGAAATCTTTAGTTTCCAGTAGTCAATAATGTCCAAAACATCCTGCGACAATCCCTTGTCTTGAAGCCTGTCATTCAGGAAATCTGACAGCGAGCCATCTTCATTACCTTGGTGATTGTATCTACTGCTGATTATTTCTTCCCACGTATCTCTGGCGACTTTAATTTCTGGCTGTTTGCTGGACAGAGAGTAAAATTTTCCTTTGTAGTAAATTTTTTCACCTTCTTCTTCATCTTCACTTTGGGCTGCCTTCAAGGTTTAGAGGAAAAACGTTATGCAGCTCAGAAACAAGTAAAATTTGAAACGTTAAAATGATAGCTAGCGACCATCATAGAGTTAAGCTGGGTGTCAAGCTGGGTTATATTTGTGATCTGAGGATTATTAACCAAGGGTATTGATTTTTATACCAAACAAATTGCAACAGATAAATAATTAATGATTAACAGGGTCTGAAATTGCGCTTTCCTGGTCGCCAACGCGACTAGAAATTCAGTCCTGGCGACCAGAATTTCATAGCTGGTCGCCAGCAAGCGACTTGTAAAGGGTTAGGGTTAGGGCTAGTTGTTATTGTGGACTTTAACGTTCGGAGAAACTGCGAAGCTATTTGCCAACAGGTGTCTCACTTTTTGTCCTGCTGATATTTTTTAATTAAAAGTGAAACGAATCTTCCTGTAGTAATACCTCCACAACAGCTACGATCAATACGAGTTCTACGTTTCCAAGCCGCCATGTTGTTTTCCATAGCTGAAATACGGTAAGTACATTATCTAGAGTAATGTGGCACAGTTGTGGCCTGGTACAAGTAACACGGCGGCTTGACTCGTGTTTATGTTTCGTGTTTCGTGGTAGTTATGGGAAGAGAATAGAGTTTTGATATGATCAGTGCAGTCATGGGCAGACAGCTTTCTGTTCCTACATTCTAGGTCAGATAGCTTTATATCTCCAAAAAGTAATTTGTGGAAAAAAATAAGACTTCACTCGTACACGTATGGTTGCTTTCTAGTATCGGGAGCGGGAGTAGTGCAGTTTTTGAGCATAAAAACATCCATACCATGCATTTTTTATTCGTGTTGTAACTTTTATGTGACAAAAAAGGGAGGGGAAATTTTTGGCGACCACAATTTGCCCTCTGGCGACCAAAAATTTATACTTGATCGCCAGTTGGCGCCCGTATTAAAAAGTTAATTTCGGACCCTGATTAACCCACTTGCCCCTGTTCCGCCCGTAACTGCGTCCCTTGTATCACTTGTGACGTCATCAGTTTTGGCGGTCAATGACAAATTTGTCTGCTAACTTGTGCAGGTTAAAGAGATCATTTCAAACATACCAGAATGAGCACTGTTCAGTCAAGGAGACCGAGGAAAAGGCAAAAAACCATGTAAAGTTGACCGGAAAATTCCGGTGAAAGTCTTGTTCCACTACCCACCTGCACTTCCATCTAATCCTACATCGGAAGCTAATACCGTAAAATTTCGAAAATAAGCCCCGGGGCTTACATTTTCCCAAGGCCCTTTTTGAGGTGCTTATTTTTGGAGGGGCATATATTCAGTGGGGCTTATCTACGGAGGGAAATTTGCGTTTCAAAGTCGATTGGGCTAGCCATAAAGTTGGAAGTAAATTTACTGTTTTTGCTTTGTTTTACGTTGTATTTGAGGGCAATTTTCAAAAGTACAAGATCCCGGGGGGCTTATATTTAGAGGGGCGATTTAACGGAGGATTTTTTGCGTTACCTGTTTGGGGGGCTTATTTTCGGAATTTTACGGTATTTTGCTTTTATTTTGCATATTGGTACAGAGGGCCGCGAAGTGAACGAACTTCAAAAGGCTTTTTGGTAAGTTTTAGCGCAGAAACCAGAAAACTGCTCGACTAGCTTCAAAACGCGTCTTTTGCCAAAATTCCCAAGGGCGAATGGGTTAAAGACATGTGTACAAATTTTCTGAACTCTCTTTGATGTTTTGAATCTTTTAAAAAGTCTGGTGTAAAAGGTAGTGACTCTAGTGCCTTAGCTTTTATTGACTTTCAGTGAAATAAGGAATGTTTTTGTTTTGATTAGGTTTGTTTGATTGGTTTTTTTGGGTGGTGGTGGTGGGGGGGTTGGTTCATTTGGCCTTATCTGCTACTATCATACAAGAGGACCAACTGTCATATATCCAGACATTGAGCAGTGATTTTGTTATAAATAGTTATGGTGCATCCTGGGACTCATCTTGTGAACAATCATGAGTCCTAGTCCAGAACAAATGAGTCGAAATTGAAAATGCTTGGGCCTTTACGTAATCAGACAGTTAATCTGAAGACAGACCCCAAAACTGTGTATTACAGTATACCGAAATTAAAATATAGTCCTTCTATTTTAAAGCACAACAAAGGCTAAACAAAAAATGCATCATTAAACAACAGCCATAATAACTTTCACAGAATTTACAGAAATGGGATATTTCTACAAATACAAAAGTTCAGATCAATCGATGGATCTTGCGTCCTACAGAACGCTTATATCATGAATTACTTTGTGTATTTGGGGATTTTTATGCGTCAGGGACGCAGGACGCAGAGGCAACAAAATCACTGAGGTAGTGGGGAGGGTAGGGTGCACTCATCCAAGCCTTGACAAATGGCATGGGTTTCAATATTAAAAAGATGCAATCGGCGACAAAATTAGTTGAGACACTGCACCGTAAAGGGCCTTTCTGACGTTTTACTGACTTCAAAAGGTGAAAATGAAGTTCCCCCCCCTCATCCCCTCCATGCCATGTTGTGGCACCATTGCTGTCAGTTAAGATTTTAGGGAGAGGGGGCCTTACAGTCCCTTTCCTCATCATTGCCGCCTTTTTTCACCATTGGCATCCACTTTATCCCTTTAGGTCCCAATAGCGATCAACATCAATTTTCTCCAAACATCATCAGCAGATCATCAAGAGTAAAGGTTATGAGAATTACTAAACTGATTACCAAAGGGAGAACACTTCAATCTTAAACCAAATTCTCTCAACCATTCTTAAAACAAATGTATGGAGATCAGTTTGGAGAATTTGTATGTGGATCTTGGGGCTTAAAGGGTTAATATGGAAAAGGTTATTTAGAGCCCTGGATAAGGTGAGCCTGCTATTGAAGATAAATCTCCTAATTAAGCTGGTTTTGTGGTCCTTCTTTGGTCCAAAAAAGGGGTGGCAAATCACCTGGGCACATCTCTGAGGGGGAGGCTAATGGGAATGTGCTGCTGGATGGGGTTGTATTTTCATGACTGGATTGACTAATGGGGTCGCATTTTCCATAGAGTTACTAGAATAGGGTTGCACATTTTCGGGTTTTTTGGGGCAACACAATACTTTATTTACGGTTAGCAAAGTAGCAAAATGTTTGAACTGTAGGTGAAAATTGAAGTGTTCTTCATTCAGTTTAAAAAATGGGTCAATTCATAAAAATAGAAAGTGACTTAGCTGGGATCACAAAAATTACATAACTGACTAAGATGGGTCTATTATTGGTCACAGAATAGACTATAATGGGGTAAGAGCTCTGAGAGGCCAGCGGCACATACCCAGCAAAAATTTACCCCAGTGACCCCCGGGGGCACCTCTTCTAGACCTGCCACTGGTATCTCCCTCTGTGGGGTTATAGCACCAAGAAACTGAGGCAGTAAGAGTCACTAGTACATATGTTGTACTTACAGGAAGGACCAGCCAGCCATTATCAAGAGCAAGCTTATTAACGACAGTGTTTGATCCATGGATAAATTCTCCACCAAGATCAAAAGAACCAAAACCTTTGAAAGGCTGTGCTTGCTTTACTCTGCCACCTATTAAAATATATAATTACAAAATATGATGTCTCAGTTAAGGTCATTTATTGTGCCAAATATCCATGGCAGGCCACGTGGCTCATACTAAAAAAAAATCACTTTATTTGAGTGTCAATGTATTTTGCATGGAAGTACTAATTGGGAACAGCATTTTTATGTCTCCAACTGGAGAGAGGCTGGCCATTTTACAATGGTCAATCAAGCCACAAAAGACATGTGAATTCACTTGAATGATTTTATACACAGATTCAAATACTGTGATGACATCATAAGGTATCAAATGATGCAGAATAGTAAAACATGAAAGCCATTCCCAGCAGCCACTGGTAAACTTTAAAATCATTTGACTTTTATCAGTGTTTCTAATGGGGGTGCTTTTGATAAGGTGGTTCTTACAGTTGACTCCTGATAACTTGAACCCTCACCAACTCGAACCTTGCACTTCTGAGTTATTACTTAAGTTATAACTCAAAAGTAAGGCCTTATAAGAAGCACCCCATCAGAAATATAAATTTCTCCCATTGCTAGGAGGGGAGAGGAGGCTTAAAAGAGAGGGGGATGGTGGCTTATTAACTTTCTTCCCCTAAAAAGGGAGGGGCTTAGTAGAGAAAGGGGGCTTATTTGAGAGGGGGGCTTAATAGAGGATTTATGGTATCTTACTTTGGAAACTAATTTCAAACTCTTTCTGGAACTACTTCTCACAGTATTACTGGCAAAAGTAAAATACTGCATATTCAAAGCACGGAAAAGGTCAAAGCAATCAACCTACCTAGGTAGTTAGCAGCCTCTAACAGAACCACATCAAACCCAGCCTTAGAGAGCGACAATGAAGCACTAAGGCCTGCTAAACCTCCACCAACAATAACAACTTGATTATCAGGAGAGGGACCTGCTAATCCTTTAATAAGATAGAAAAAAGTTTTTGAAAACTTTTAATGTTTTTGTTACTCATTACATTATATGCATGTTAAAAAAATACTGATCAGTGCTTTAATATTGTTGACTTTTGCAATTTCTGCTGACCAACTTTTTTTTACACTGTGGCCCACAATAAGGACAGAAAAATATGTTTAAATTAACATATTAAAGGTGCATTTGATTTGATTTGATTTTTAGAGATTACAAATTATACAATGGATACCAAAACAAATTAATCATATTTCTAGTCAAGAGTTTATTCATTTTTTAATATGTCAAAATGCTTTATTAAAATCTTATAAACAGCTACACACAAAACTTCAGTAAAATACTCATAAAAAGAAAATGTCAATATCAATACAAAATTGTGGCAAAACACCTTTGAAATTCACAATTCCAAGAAATCACATGGAGTCAAAAGTCAAAAGTCCCAATGGATGAGTTTATTAGAAGTCCCTATTAATACTTATATCATTTTCTTGAATTATACACAGCGAATCAAACACACCCTATTTAAATAAGAGAAGGCCATCTTGCTTTGTATTTAAAAGGATTGAGGCATAGAACTTAAGTCTATAGCAAGAACAACCCCACCTAGTGACTACACAATGATTTTACCACAGGTGACTGGCAACCACTCTGCCATGCCATCTCCTAAACATAAATTTACTAAAATGTAAATGCAATAATATATTACCATTCCAAGGAAAAGAAGACCGGACTGTATTTAACATCAAAGTTGAACTTTCATTTACTGTTTTCATACAGCTTTGAATACACTGGGCTTCTTGTCTTCCTTCTTCTGAAACACTTAGGGAAGAAATGAGATCTTCACAAATGTTTAAAACAGCAGAGGTTTCCACATAATCTCCTACCACTCCATCCTCAACTTGAAAATTGGGAATCAAATCAGGTTTGTAAACAAGGAGACAAATGTCGCTTGAAATCGAAGAGGCCGTGGTATCTATAAGGCGAAATCCTGTCGAATATAAACACTTGGATTGTTGAGACCAGCCACGTTTGCCAGCTAATTTCAGTCTATGATTCTTGATCACAACACTGAAGATTTCCTTACACCTTTCATGTCCACTTTGCTGGGCATACTGCAAAAATTGGAAATGAAATGTTATGTTACAAGATATAACCATTTAGAATTTATAATCTTTATAATCTAATTATGTACAGTTATAACTGTACATAAATCTGAGGACTTCCTAAAAACAATTTGTCAATATAGCGGAAAATACAAGAAAACAATACAAGAGATGAAGAGATATTTCTCATTTTTTCCTTCTTTGATTATTATCACATTCAATGTTACTCAATGCTGCCTTTGTTAGTTGGGATTTCAATGCACTATATCTGTCAGGTTCAACACAGCCTAGAGGCCCTGCCAGGGTAAATTCTGACAAGCGACATGGCCCAAGACAGCACGTAAAATGAAATCGCGACAAGAGACAACCTCCCTCGGCCAAATTGCAACAGAGACGGCAAAGCCGACAATAAGTGACAAGCATTTATAAACACCGACACGAGACGTTTTAAAATTCAGATGGGCGACATGGGACCCCGCCTGATAGGGCCTCTCCCTATAATGGCCACGTAGGCTCCACCCAGAATGGGGTACCTTTTTAAGGCCTTTGGTATATGAAAGTGTGGGGAATCCACTGTTTGAGGTATATGAAAGGGTAGGAAGATCTGTCATTTTGGTCTGTAAAACTCGGGGGCTAACAAATTCATTTTGAAGATAAACATTCTGGTTGTGTGATTTATTTATATTTTAACCTAGACAAGGCATTTATAGCAGGGATGTAAAGTTCTAAGTAAGTATGTAAAAGGAGTACCATTTGTTTATAGAAGGAATACGAAGGGGGCACCTTTTTCTGTCAAAAATCGTATAAACAAAGGACAAGGGGTTGGACCTCGGGGCACTGAGCCTCCAGTGTTTTAGTTAATTCTTTCAAGTGGGGAGACATAAAGACCATCTGAGGTGTCACCAAGACCACATGCTAATTTTTTTCGTTATATGTAACATAACACTTATATGTCATCTGTCGCGTCAGGAAGCTTTCTTTGTCAAGTAATTGACCACCTGGAACACTGAGCCTCCCCGTCTAAAGCTTTTTAGAGCACCCCATCAGTTTTCAGCTCTTTACAGGAAGGTTAGAAAAGTAGCCAATTTAAGAAAGTATCCATACACCAGTCTTGCTTTCCCAACCCCCAATAATGATCCCCTTAACACCCCCACCCCTCCCCAAAATAAAACAGGAACAAAAAAACAGAAGAAAAAGAAAATTATAATAATAATAAAAACAAATGGAAAGCATTATTGCCCTTCTCAACCTAAAAGAGGCTCATTAGACATTCGCTGAAAAGAGAAGCTCCCTAATTTTTAAGGCCCATACATATGAGAGTTGTAATAAAGTAAGCTTAAATATGAACCTTATTGAGAATAGAGATGGCCTCCTCCAGTAGCTCTCGTGTGCTTTCAATCTCCTGATCAATCAGATCATTCCAGTTTAATATCTTTACAAATCCATAGTTCCCACTAGCAAAGTACTGAACAAACAGGCTACAAACAACGTTGGATAAACTCCCTTTTGTACAAAATCCGTCCTCGTCCAAACTCACAAGGAGAGTTTTCATTTGGACTTTCATGAGCTGCCTCTTCCAAAGAGCATCCTTGATGTAGTGTTTATTGCTGCTGTCAACAATTTTTAATAGGGATTCCTCGAGATCCCCATTGTTAGGGAGGAATTCTGTAGCTAAGTCCAGGATTCGCATTGTGTTGCAGGAGTTGCAGTGACCCCCCTGGATTTCTACATTTTGCGTTGACTCGTTGCGTGACTATTGGCTCAGCTTTTCGTGACGTCAGTAGACTCCAGTCTCCCACGAGAGAAGTCCCACGAACGAGCAAACGTTGTCCAAAATGGCGGTAAAAGTGTCGTCTTCATTTGCTTTCATTTGTTGTGTTTCCTGGATTTGGAGCCAGACATAAAGAAGGATGGAAAGTCTCCTTGCGTATAATAGCAGTTCGGACGAAGAAAGCGATAGAATTACTAAAGATGAACAAAACCTCAAGAAACGCAAAGTGAAGCTTCCAGGAACAGACCAGGGAAAAGACCAAGAAATCAAAGATGTTTGTGCAACAGAAAGCGGCATACAGACATATAATAATCAGATGGGGCCGTTTCTTGAACCAAAAAATGCTTTTGGGCTCAATGAGTATAGTTATTCTAAATCAAAACAAACTTCCTTGAGAAATGATCATGGTTCCATTGTTTTACAAAGAACTTTTAGTGAGCCACAGTTTCCAGTGAGTAATTCTAACCAAGAAAAGAAAAGCCCAGCTTTCAACAGTTCATTGACTCAATATAAGCATTCAAATTCGAGTAGCATATCAGGCAGAAGAGTAAAACCTTACATCTCAAAGAGGGAAAGAGAAAAATTGGCACAAACAGCTTTACCTGGTAGTTCCTCTTCTCCACTTAAATGTCAGTTAGCTGCGGAGAAGTCTAATTTTGATGATTCTATAAAGGAAGTTGATTTGCAACCTAACAGACCTTGTGAAATATCAGATGGAAAACGTGTAGCTCGCGCATGCCGGCCGCCTAAACAGTTGCATTTAAATTTTGAAGGTCATTCGCAAGGAGTCAACTGTGTGCATTGGAACGCAACTAGAGGTAACCTGTTATTATCTGCAGCAATGGATCACTTGGTCTGTGTATGGGACACTTCATGTGGGAGTACATGCCGCAGGAGACTTACACATCATACAGCAGCAGTGAAAGACTCCAAGTGGAGTTTATGTGGAGAGAAAATCTTGAGTTGTGGTTATGACAAAACTGCTAGACTTTCTAATTTGGAAACAGGTAATGTGAATCATGTCTGTAGTTTGAAGATCATGCACATGTCATTGGCTTGTCCCAGGGGTAGGAACTGGAGCTAACCAGGGCGATGAATGTCGGGGAATAGTTCTCTACAACTGGCGGAGGGGGAGTTTCACAAATAATTTTAATTTGAACAAAAGGGATCGGGGAATTCAAAATTTTGTAAAAATAGTAGACAGCAACCACTGTGAAGTCATCGGGATTTACTGCTTTCCCACACCCTTAGATATCTGACATATAACATTAATTTTAATGGCCCAACATCATGTGTACTCGCCACGGATTACCAGGCCACCGAAGATGGTGAACCCTGCTATGACATGTGCATAAAACACAATTAAATAATTACATTACTAACCTAATGTGCACTTTGATGGGATAGCTCAGGAGTGAATCAGGGTAAAGAAAAAAGGTAAAGAGTCTTTATTTTATGTCAGTAGCTCGAAATAGCCATATGATTAACCAACCTGAGGCCAATGGTGCACTCGTTTACCCCCCTCCATTACTGCTTCATTTTACGGGTATTTAAAGCTACGGAAAGCTACACGGAAAGGAAAGAAGGTGAAAGAAGGATCTGAGGTCACACCTGGGAATCAAACTAGGGAATTCCCACACAGAAGGCTGTGCACTAACTAGCCAACTGTGCTAACCCTTCCTCCCCCAGTCACTTTCCCCTCTTCTCACCCCACATTCTCCTTCTACCCTAAAAACTTGAAATCTGAAGGTGAAAATCCTAATTAAAAAAAACATTGTAGATCTCTCAAAACAGCAAGATAGTATCGACAAATAGACAATGTTTTCATTTGTAGAAGGTGTAGTTTAATCTGCTCTACCTTTATTTTTTTTTTTTCAGGTCAAGAAATCATTAAATTTCCTCACAAAAACTTTGCTACCTGTGTCCAGTTTCACCCAACAGATCCAGCATTATTTTTGTCTGGGACTTTCAAATCTGCCATCCTATGTTGGGATACAAGAACTGGAAATGTAAGTCTACAGAATGCATATTTTTTAACAAACTGTTCTCAGAGTGCCACTTAACTCATGAAATAGAATCTAAGGGCTCAAAATAAGATTGCTGGGGACTTCTGGCGGTCATGCTGACCCACCAGAGAAATGTTATCTCAGTCACATCTCTCTTCTGGCCAGTTATAATGTTAAAAAAATACGATAATAACAAGAATATCCTACCCCAACAAGCTAAAACATAGAGTAAAAGGATGTTTGTCCCCTTGAAACGTAATGCTATGTAAATATATTTTTTTTCTGGTCCCTTGTTTATGTGTCCAGTCAAAATGACCAGTAAACCAAATGTTTGTTCAGACAAATGGCCATCTTGGCTGGACATCGTCTGTTGAATGGCCATTATTTTGAGGCCTGGAATCTGCTGTTGTACATAATCTATGCTTTTACATCACTTGCAAAAGAAAACTGTTTTCCATTGAACTGTTTGAACAAATTAATTATTTTTACATTGCACGCCAAATACTGTTCAATAGGAAAAAAATAGTCATAACTGGTGAAATAAAAATGCCAAGTAAGAACAGTTTTTTTGTAAGAAGGTTGCAGACTGGGACACAAACTTATAAGATTTTAAAACAAAAAGACAACATTTTCTTATAAATTTCCCTCACAGATCACATCAACATACTCTGCTCTTTTTGGCCAAGTACAAGACATAGCATTTCTTTCTGGAGGAGATGAGTTTGTTTCTGCTGCTGAAGTGGTCAAGAGAAATTCTACGGACAAAGGAATCATGGTCTGGGATTTCAGATCAACTGTAGTATTATCCAATCAAATCTATCAGGTCTGTCTTCAGCATTAATCCCTCCTATTTGAAATGCAAATATGCATTATTTATATCATTTTGGGAACAGGGTTTTCCTATTTAATCAGTATGATTGTTCTGTTCATAAGTTCTGAAGAAAACACAAAGTCACCATTGTCTTCCTGAAAATGGGACCAAAGTGCTCATTAGCCTCTCCAGGGGGTACTCCCTGTAATGGCCTATACCAGAGCTCTGCTCAAACGTGTACCTTTTTCAGGCTTCAGATATACGAGAAGGTAGGAATTTCATTGGTTGATGTAAGCAGGGTTTGCAAATTTTATTGATGAGTGGAGTCACTGTGACTTCTGCTTCGCAAATTTTGGAGTCATTTTGGAATATTTAGAGTCAAGTATCACAACAAAAGAAGCCATTTTCCGACTTTCCAGCACGTGGTCCTGGCATGTATACACTATCGTGAGGAATATGCGAAGCAGCTGTGGCGGTCCGCTGACCTGGAAAGCTCAAATCCATGATGGCGGTCATCGACTAACCTTTGATCGTATTAAAATTTACCCTCTTCCTGTTTTGTCGTGCAGTATAATTCTTTAATTCTGATGATTTAATTAAGGTTTACAAGGTTTACAATCAACATAAATTGTATTTGTTGCGTAAAAGGTAAGGACAAAAGTGTGTTTGTTACCGAAAATTTCTGGAGTCAAAGTGGCTCCCTGTTTGTTACCAAAAATTTCTGGAGTCGAGGTAACTCCCTCCGTAACCTTTGTGGAGTCATCTGAACAAGTTTGCTGTAAAATACACCAAATTTGGCGTATTTGCGAACCCTGTGTAAGAAAACTTGTCATTTTGCTCTGTGAAAAGACAAAAAGGGCCAACAGATGTATACTTTATGGCTGTGAAGAGATAAGACAACTTCCTGGTTTTGTTGTTTACACATATTAGAAGGATGGTGCATTTACAACAGTTGAAGTGTTCTAAACTGGATATGTGAAAGGGGTAACATTTGTCAATAGAAGGTATATGAAAGAGGTACCATTTCTGTCAAAAATGGTGTATAAAAGGGTAGAGGGTTGAAGCCCATGGTGGAGTGTCCTCTCCCAGGACATAAGCAGGACATTGTCTGCTTCAAAACATGTTTTTTGTTACTGCATATGAGAAAACTGTTGTCTAATGGCAGTTCTCTAGAGGTGACATAAAGATCTCTTGAACAATCAAACATAATTTGACTGATAAAGACAGTTATTATGAATCATAGCATTGCGCATATAAACCTACTATTAGAGTTGGAATCTCACACTTGAGAGAAATAAAATAATTATCTTCAATTTTTTTTTGTCGTCCAGGAAGCCTTCACTTGTACTTGCTTAAAAGTCCATCCTCATGAAGCTCATTTTGTGGCCCAGTCCAATGGAGATTACATTGCTTTGTTCTCAACAAGGAAGCCATACAAGCTAAGCAAGTTCAAAAGATATGAGGGCCACAAGGTATTATATTCAATTTCTGTTATTTATAAATAATGAATCCCATAGAAAATGGGTTACACTTTATACTATACAGTCATTTCCATGGGCATCCATACCCTTCCCCCTACTGTGGACGGCAAACTTGGCAGGGACACTAAAGGAGCTAAATGCCCTGCAGTGGGGACAAATAAAGAGGGCAAATCCCCTACCTCCAGGATTGCCCCAAATCAACACTACAGCAGTGTTCATTCATTGCACAATAGAGTAGTTACACTTTCAGCATTTTAATGTGCAATTTTTTCTTGTTTCTGCTCATCTGCCTCTTCATCATTTCTTCATAATAACTTAGTATCTGATGTGTCTTTCTCCTTTAAAAGAGCACTTAAGGCATTTATTTGTAATAATTATTAGTATACTTCAACAAAAATCTTGGGAAAAAGCCTTTTAATATTCAACATTTGTAAACTTCCGTAATATTGATTAGTTTAATTTTTCACCTGATATTATATTGTACCCGTCGCCGTAATTTTTATGCCATCTTCGAAAAATTGTAATTGAGGAGGCCTAATTAACATAAGCTCCATAGTTTCTTTTAGGCCTCCTCGCCATCTCTTCCTACATTTTTTTTTTCTTTTGGCATCTTTAAGTAATTATTGTAATTGTGTGGCAAATAAATAAAATACGTAAATAC